AAAAAATGCTACATTAGCATTTCTTTTTTCTTTTCCAGATTGAAAGTCATTCTATTACTTTAGGAACATAAAATATGACTATGGACATTTTTACTTGGCATGAAATTATCACAACTAGCATATTAAAAATATAGTGTGTATCCAAACAATTATTACAAACAGAATACCCACCCACATGCAAAAACAAAACTGAAACCTTTTTCTTTTCTTGTGACAATAGCACCTCCTAACGGGAGAAATGCATCTTGTTCTTGCATTGGACAGTTCAGTTTGTAACCTAGGACTTGCAGTTAGATCAATCTGATACCATACATATTTTTTAGAAATGATTTGGAAAATATTTGAACACTTTGTCTTAAAATATTTTATTCATCATGTTAAAATAAAATGTTTCATAATCATTTTTTTTTCTTTCATTTTTTCCAGTTTTTTGGAAAAAAACAAAAAGGCTTTAGGAAAACAGGGGGGAAAACCGTTTCCCTAATTTTTCCGGTTTTTTTCCAGGCCTTCACACCTCGATCTAGGGGTCAGTGTGCTGCATGCTCATAGTGGTGGGCTTCATCAGAGCAGGAGGCACTGCCCTTGCTGCACAGCAGGGCTTTTTAGTGGCTTCTGACACTTTGGCCTGAGGGGATCCAAAAAATGACACCTTTGTGAATGAGCCCTCTGTCACTTAAACAAAGTGTAGGCTTGAGAGTTGGGAGCTACAGGTGAAAAGCTTCCCTCATGCCAGTTTGGGCCACAGAGAAGGACAGATCTCAGGCTGTGGGCCAGCTCAGATGAGTGCCGTCAGAACGACTGGTGCATCTGCGTGTCGGGCGGGCAGAGGTGCAAAAGCCGTGACTTGTGGTTGGTTCCTTATCCCAAAGATATTCCTGCATGTCAGGCTTTGAGTGTGCCTTTATTTGTAAATCTTTAACTTTACATTTAATGATACATTTTCTCCCAAGAAGTAAATGCTAAAAATTAATCACATAGAATAAAGTGAAAATGCTTAGACGTCTCCTGCACATTGCCATTTTGGGAGCAACTGATCACAACGAAATAATTCCGGTTGGTGGCCAGGCCACTCAGAGTTGACCAGATTGCCATGTAAGCTGTTGTGCCTTGTGACATGTCATGAAGGGATCTTATGTTTCTTGTAATGCATGCATATTTTGTTTTTAGCCTCAAATGCAAACCCAGGTACAGCAGGTGGGAATTGTACCAACACAAGCAATGGCAACAGGACCCACAGCTGATCCTGAAAAGCGCAAACTTATTCAGCAGCAACTGGTTCTGCTACTTCATGCTCACAAATGTCAAAGGCGGGAGCAAGCAAACGGAGAGGTGCGCGCGTGTGCGCTTCCCCATTGTCGAACGATGAAAAATGTTCTCAATCACATGACGCATTGCCAAGCTGGAAAGGCCTGTCAAGGTAAGAGCCGGTTGTTGCTCCATCAAAAAAGTCTGTGATGTGTTTGTCCCATAGCCCCATAGGCACTGTGTGTCACACCGCCACGTGAAGGGGGCCCAAGCATTGGCAGAAAGCTTTTGGGTAGCTGACCATCAGAATTAGAGGAACTCCAGACCAGCCCTTGTGGAGGGCAGAGCTCTCCAGAGCCTCCCAGTCCAGAAGGATCTTCCTTGTGGTTTAGTCACGCATCACTTCAGTCCTGCATGGAATCCTGATGGCCTCTTCCTATTGTCTCAGGTGTCATTCCAGCAGCAGGTAGGTTACGAGTCTGCCAGGCCGGCAGGAGGCAGGATTGACTGGAGATGCCTCTGGAGGCACCACAGGCCCGGACTGCAGCCTTCCTTCTTAGTGACTTCTGCCTTCATTTCGTTCCTCTCACGCCTCTCAAGGCATGGCAGTACAGTTTCTGGCTCCAAACACCCCTTTTCTATCTCATAGATTTCAGGAGTTAGTATGGCTTTCCCACTGTTTCCCCTTCTTACCAAGATGGAACGTTTTCTATTCCATTCTGCAGAAAGATGGAGGAATTTCAAGCAAGTAGATTTGAGAGTTGTCCATGTCTGAATTATAGAGCAAATTCTCCCCCCCCCCCCCATTGGAAAAGAGTGGCCCCAAACAAATCCTTGGGAATTCTGGCATTTTTCTACACTTCTTCTGTTCACATTTCTGTTCTCAGATTGCTGGTCCGTGGGGATGCCAGCCCCCGCTGGATGCTGTATCAGACAGGGTTCCAGTTGAGAGTGTATTTATGTTGGGTGACTTTGACAGAGTAAGGGTATTTCTGTTGTGGTGCTCCGGCAGGGAGGACAGGGTATAAGTCAAATGAAGAAATAAAAACTTTTCTCTCTGCCCGCGTTGCCCTGGGTGTGCGAATTACGAGCTCAGCTTGCCACTTTCTGGCAGTTCCTCATTTAGGGCAGTGTGTCTGGCATCTACCACAGCCTGTGCTTTTCCTGTAGTGGCTTCCACTCTGTGGAGTAAGCTCCCAAGGGGATGTGAGGGGGCACCATCTTTGGAAGTTTCAGGACGTTCCACAAGGCCATTTTTTCCTCTAGGGCTTTTAACAGAAGATAGGCTGCAGGCATTTTTTAATGGGAGGGGGTTACTGTGATTTGTACTGTTCTTTGTGTTTACTTTTGGAACTGTGGTCTGCCTTGAGCCACAAAGGAAAGGTGGGGTAGAAATATTGTGATAAATTCTCCACTGCCCGATTGCTTCCCTGCTTGAGCTCCTCAAGGTGAGCTCAGACCTAGTGGTAAGGTCTTGGAGGCTCTTAGTCCTCAAAGACTTCACAATCCATTCCATGGCCACCTTAAGTGGAGTCTGTGGCTTCCATGGTAGCCATGGGGCTGGATCAGGACATCTGGTCACCCGGCTACATGGCAGGCGCATGTCTGTGCTGATTCAGGGTCACGCGGGACAGTGAGGGGGGACTTCAGTCATTTCCTTGTCATGGACTGACCATCACTGTGACTTGTAACACACATGTGAGGGCTTATTCAGATGTTTTATCCATTTTGATTATATTTCATCGATTCCCAAGGGTGCTTTGGAAGTTTCTTAACGATGTGAGTAGTTGTAGTCCTATCACAACCCTGGTCCAATATTTAGGATACTTTGATATGACTGCTTGTAGACATCCTATCCCAGCCTGTGCAGCCCATACAAACCCCTGTTGCCTGGGAAACTGGAGGCACTGAACAAGTTTGAATAAAACTAGTATACAGGTGGAGGAAATGTCATTGTGAACACGAGCGTGTGTATATTTATGTGTATGTGCCAGCTCTGTGGTAGTGGTAGCAGCGAAGCTTAGAATGTGTAACACTGCCAATGGCACTAGTCCACCTGTGTGCTTCTGGGCCGTGTTCGGACTTCGGTTTGTGACTTTTTGGCAGCCAGAGATCTTGGTTGCGGGGGGGGGGGCATCATGGCCCAGCTCCGTCAGGAAGGGCCACGGCGTCTACTGTGTTGTTCTGAAGTGCCCCTCTTGAGGAAATCGGCAGGGGAGCCAGCTGGTGCTCAGTTTGATCTTTTACTGTATGTGCAAAATAGACAGGTTTGCTTCTTGGGACGTAGCGTTTGGCGGAGGAGTTCTGCAGAATGTCGTTTAGAAGCTGGGCTCCTCCTCCATCCATCCAAATCTTCGTTGTTGCTTGTCACCAGTTTCCCAGATGTCTTCCTTCACTGAGAAAGAAAGGAACATTGGCACTTACTGTGGACTTTCATTCTTCTCCGTGGGTGGAAGACATCTTGCCAGGTCCTGGATCTCATTCTGCTGACTGAAGAACCATCTCTTCTGAAATGGGGGGAAGCCACAACAAAAAGATGCATACGCTTGCCTGTGTTCAGGTATCTCTAGGTGCCATTTAGTAGCAAATAGAGGGTTAGGGTTAGGGGGGTTTTCTTTGTCTTCCAGGATGGGGTGTCCTTGTTTTTTTCTCTCTGAGATTTTTGTCTGTAACCGTTTTTGGCTTGGTGGGTTTTGCTAGGTTTTCGAATTGCTTGTTACCAAGTATACGTGTTTCTCATTTGTGGGATTAAATCCCAAAGCTGAGAGGTGCCCACTAACCCCCTCCCCCCCAATCAAGGACTTTGCAGAAGGTTTTTCTTCTTGGCCAGAGGTTGCTGGGAGCAGCAACCATTTCCAGGATGCATCCCATCCACAGAGGAGAATGAACCTTCGTCCATTGTGGGTTCCAGTATCCCTTTCTCTTAAATCTCCTATCTGCAGCAAAACCTAGGAGAAAGGAAGAAACCAGACTATGTAGCTGCCCTGACCTCCTGGGACTACTGTCTTAGCTTAGTGTCTTCCTCCACTCTTTTTATTGCGTTCCATTTGTCCAGGAATTAGTGGTTAAGAGTTTTGGCTGTTTGGAAAGACTCATCTGAGAGGCTGCAGGATGGGGCGTGGTGCTTGTAGACGTCATCTCTAATCAATGTTTGTTATTCAGTCTGCTGGCCTGAGAGGATTATTTTATTCAGTGGCACCTGAGGGAATTTGGAGGCAACTCACAGGTGAGTACTCTCTGCCCAAATTGATGCTGGTGGGGAAACGAATGATTGATCAGAAATCCATCTCTTACTAAAACCATTGGACTAAACCACTGGGAAGCCGGGGGCGGGTGGGGGGGTGGCTGGCTGCTGTGTCCTCTTGGTAACATATGGATTGGACAGAAAGTATTTAATGGAAAAACATAACTGTTTGTCAAGAGGGTCTGGTGTTACCATACCTGATTTTGTATAAGAGTTGCTATTACCCCTCTGCTCGTCCAGCTACTACATTTGAACCAATGTGTAATGTGCTGGGGATTGACAGAATTGTATGGATGTTCCCTGTGCTGGTGTGTCAGCATGCTTCCTTGATGGAGAAAGCAAATGCCCACAAGCATGTGCCTGGGTGAATTTAAGATCACCCAGTTTTCTTAATACTTGTGAGGTTCCGCCGTTGTTGCACATGTGGAGAGAGAGTTCTGCTGAGCCTGCAGCTTTTGGAACTTTTGTAAGAACTGTTCTGTGCAGTGTACAGGGATTAGAGCTTGAGTCCCTTCTATCCCATCAGGATTTCTCTCATTCACAAGGGACACCTAAGATTCGTGACAAGACGGTCATGGAGGGTGGAATTAATATTTTTAATATTGCTATCTGTGTATATTGACATATTTTTGCCTGCCAAGGGACTCTGACAGTGAATGAGCTTTTTAAAAGGGCAGTGTTTTGTAAATAAATTATGTTCAGGTCCTAAGAGATCTCAGCGCACTGGATCTGGATGTCCTTTCACCTGTGTTAATAAGGTAGATGCAGCCCATTAAGTATGATGTTTGCATCAATTCCAAATACTTCCTGCTGCATCTTCTGCTTTGTGTTATTTCATGGTACTCACTTGATGTATAGTCCACGTATTTCATTTTTGCAGGACTTGTGCAGCTTTCAGTGAAAAAGATAGGAGTTGATACTGTCCACAGATAAGAAAGGCTGAGTTCACCATCAGTCTTCAGTGCAGTCCCACATGGGGACTGTGTGCATGAGCAGGGCTGCCCTCGGAGCGGTCTTTACAGCTAAGAGCCTCCAGGGGGTGCTGCGCGCCAGAGCCAGGAAGCTTGTTCCCGCCCAGAGATCACGTGTTCCCACGCAGCAGCACCCCCACCCTCAGTTCCCCTTTTGCCACTGAAGGTGGTCATCTTTTTTGAGTCTCCAGTTTTCCTGCTGGTGAGGAATTGCTTCCCCAGTTTGCTGGGGTTGTTCTGGTTTCTGTACCATGGCCTCAGAAGGCTCTTTGCAAAAAATGCACCCATTTTGTGGTGAAGAAGAACCAAACGAGTGAACACGACTTGTGTCTGTTTTGTTTGGGTGAAGAGCACAACATCCCCACATGTAAGGCCTGCCAGCGCTTCTCCCCATAAGCTTGAGGGAATAGGGAGTCAAGACTTAGAGCAGCATTGTTGGAGAAAGCCATCAAAGCCTTGGACCCTTCTTCCAAGTTGACTCCAGGAAAATTGTCTGTTGCCATGTCCGCAGAATTGTCACAGTCAGCTTTGCCTCCCAGATCCATGTTGCAACAAGTCCAGTCAGGGTTGTGCTCCTCTCTGGCTCATCGTGCCTCATTGGAGCCACCAGCGAAGAGGGTGAAGAACAAGTCCAAAGGTAAGGATAAACGCAAATCTGCAGCTCAACAACGTACCCCTGTCCTCACCCCTGAGCTTAGACCGTTTTTTCAGGAGAAGCCTAGGACTCCCTCCCCGGGTGCAGAAGATCCCCTCCAGTTTCGATCTCAGGTGGGGAAGTAGAAGCGGGCAAAGGTTTCCGTGGTTGCAGCCTCCGCCGCCTATGCAATGGCCATCACACCCATACATGATGTCTCCAGGTTATCTGGAAGAGTTGGGCGACCACTTTGCTTGGCCTAGGGACACAGATGTATACCTCCTACCCTCACCGGGTTTCCTTGTATCCACCATCAGCAACAA